ACTATACTCACTGATATAAGCAGACAGGACATGAAGAATATTGTTCTTGAAAGCCTGCCTGCTTTTTGCTAAGTTAATTAGATGATGTGATAAGAACGCATCCGCTCAGATACAAACTTTGTTTTACCTATTCAGATGCTCACAGATTTAAGAGCACTACTGCTAGAACATAGGAATCATTCTCCTTTTACCTTCCTATACAAAGGCAAAAAATGGTCATCTGCCTCTAATAATCATGTTTCATATACTTAGAACTAGGTCAATAACGGGTGCATCACCAACTTGGTTGGCTTAGTGCTGCCTTTCTATCTGAGGATAGCTTAATTTAATGAATTTCCAGGTACTTTTCTCTAGGTAGAGAGATTAGAGGAGGTTTTGGTTAAAAATGTTATTGTGCACTTAGAAATTCACCTTGGCTAGCTTTCTATTAAGCTGTAGAAAGTTGTACACCTGTGTTGAAGGGCACTGGTATCAGCTAATACTGAAGAGATTTATAAAAGCAGCCCCTGTAATTAGGAGACAGCAGTATTTTTAATAGTATATTCTGCTGAAATACATAGTCACTGAACACTAAATATATACTCTGTATGTGTGGTGTGATTTTTGGGGTTGTCCTGTGCAGGGCCAAGGGTTGGACTCAATTACCCTTGTGGGTCCCTTCCCACTCATGACATTCTATGTACCCTGAGATTTCAGATGTAAAAAAGTACTATTTCATTCTTCATTTATAAGAAATTATACATTAAATTATAGTCTCTCCCCACATCACCATTTGTAACTGTTTTGAACTTTATATGAATACAGAGAGATAAAAGGTCTAAACCTGGAATGCTTGCAAATCTTACTTCTTCCTGGTGATCCAAAAGCTGATGAGCAGACCTGAAGCTGCCTGACTCTTCTGCCCTATTAAAAAGTTCATCCTTTCACCTGTGTTTGAAAGGGAAGCATTTCCAACTGTTCCTGTTAGTTTGAGCTTTCATTTTCCCTTCATTTCCCTTCATTTCCCTTCATTTTCATTTAGAGATGATGGCAGTGCAAGAAAATGTTTGGGGGTTAAGTTTCAAGGCTCACAAGGCCCCTACTGTAGATGTCAAAACCATCTGAATTTTAAACATATTTATGTGTATCTTCACACTGATTGAGGTTGTCATGAAAATTCAAAGTTTAAACTTTGGGATAATCTTTTTACTGGGCTGAGCTGCTTGCCACACAGGCAGGGCTGGCCCACTTCTCACAGTGTTCTTGCCGTACTGCAATACAGCTGGTCCAGCTGCTTCTGCTGAAGGAAAAAGAAGAGGCTGTACATGAAATCTGGAATAGCAGAGGTATCTTCTGTCTGTGTTTGTATTTGCAATCTAATATTCACACTAGTTACTAAATAACCCTTATTTAGTTTGTTAGATTCTGTATCTAAACGACCATGTTATTGTTTATGGTGAAATCTCCTGTATTGTCATTAATTTTACCCTTCTGTTTTCTGTTGCAGTATATTTTTCAAGTATCAATCAGTACCTGCAATACTTATTCATAAAGTTATCACACAATTAATCATTTAACCCTTTCTGTTTTACCAAGGCACTGACAATTTCAAGGTTTACAAACTGCATCTTTGTGAGAGAAGGAGCTCATTACCCCAGGATATATTCACTTCCAGATAGCATCTGCAGAAGTCTTGCTACAGGGTTCTGTTCAAGTTAGACTGTTTAAATTACACTTTGTCCTTGCCCCTAGTTTCCACAAAGCAGTACTTATGTGACAAAGAGCCATGCAAAGCTGTCTGTACAGCAGTGAATTTCACCTTTGGGGATTAATTATAGAGATGTTTTGGTGATGAACAATTTTGCAACGTTTCAATAAGATGGTTAAATCTCCCCAAAGCGTTCAAGAATTAATTCAAAATGTCAGATTTTGATTGGGTTGTGGTACCAAACCATAAGCATCCATGACTATTTTAATTTCTCTTTACCCACAAATTCATATGAGATGAAACATACAGGAAGAACAGCACTAATAACTCCTGTAGCTTAAAATAAAATTGTACTGGACTTGGCCTCCAGAGCCATTTCTAAGTAACTGATGCCTTGATCCCATAAAAATTAGCTAGGACAGGCAGCTAAGATTAACTGAATCAAAACTATCCCTCACTGCTCCAGCTTCCGCCCTCAATAACCTTTGGGGTTTTGACCCAACCCTTGTTCAGAAAAGTGGAAATGTTTCTATAAAATCAAGTACAAATCCACATCAGAAGTAACCTCTTTTCTGGGAAGTAATTTTCATAGAGAAGAAAAAAGTACTGTTAATGTAAAAAAAACATCCCTGAAGCAGGATCCTTGGGTTACCTGTTTCAGTTTGATGTTTGGAAAAATGAAGCATCTCAAAAGGGAGGGAGCGGTTCAAAACTAGTCTCTACAGCATATCTGATTTCTAGGTAGTATTTTCAGGACTAGGAGTTCAAAATCTAGGCAACTATAAAAATTCAGCAGGAAATGTTTTCTTTCCACTTCCCTTCACCCGCTCTCTGAAATTTGCCCACCAGCTTTATTAGTTTTGTTACTTCTTTTTTCTTTCATGCATGGAGAAGCCTCTCAAACAGGAGAAACCTTAAAAATGCAACAAAAAGTATGCTAAATTTGCAAAATGGAGGAGAGTGGAGAGTTATTTCTCCACTCTTTATTTAATCACAGACATCTGAAAATAAAACTCTTCAGATGCGGGGCATTTCTGTCCCTACAAAACTCATTCCTGTTACATAACCTTAGGGATTCAGTTAAACACTATTCATTTAAAATTCCTGTGTGTTGAAATTATTAAGCTCAATTAGCTGTTTTACAGAAGTCACAAAGTTTATTTTTATGAAATTTCTTCACAAAAAAAAGATGTGATGTGCCATCTGTTCCCAAAGTTTTGTTCATTACAGTGGAGGCAGAACTGATCTTCAGGGCTGTGCTCTACAAGCAATCCCTGTATATAACCTTCAACTACAAAATAAAAGAACATCTTTATGAAGTTCAGAAGGAAATAGCCACCATGTAAGGCTTGCAGTAGAAGCCAGTGCATAATGGATTACTTTTTTTTAAGCCATCCTTATGGAAAAAAAAAAAAAATCACTGGGTGGTATTATTAATTTGAAACCAACGTATTCCCCATCCAAATAAGGTTACATTTTGGGTTGTGTGGGTTTTAACAACAACTTCCCAGAGTTGCCTTGGGTTTTGCCATTTCTTTGAGGCACAGCTGACCATTTTTGTGGCTGTTTGGAAGGCCAGTGTGAGACCCAAGGTACTCGCAGCAGATCTGAGGTGAAGAAGGAGGCAGCCAGGAGACTGGTAATCTATGCTTGCTATTTATTGCTGGCTGCCATGATGAAAAGCTAGAGGAAGCAATGGACTGCCTTTTTAGCTGCACCTCCAGTTTTGCCATTCTCCTGTAATTCTCCACTGAAAGGTGGTAAGAGCTCCATTCCCAAATAGCCCTGCCTCTGACAGTCTACACAGATACACAGAGGGGTGAATGAGTGGGGAATAGCTTCCTATTGATTGCTCAAAGCTGAAGCTCTTCTGCAGCTTTGACACAGTATTGCTGCTGTTAATTCTGCTCATACTCTAGAACAAGAAAAAAAATTGGGTATATATGGGGTGACATTGTTCTTTCCACCAACTGTTCCTTCAACCTTTTTGAGGTAGTAAGGGCAAAAGCAACATAAGTCTTGTCTTTTCTATGACCTTATTAAATTCTATTTTCTATCACAACCTGCAAATAAGCACACTAAATGTAATTTCTTGCTGAAGTAACACTTACAAAGACTGTTATGAGAAAGGGAGCGTGGAGGAGGAGGAGGTACTCAAAGACACACCAAGATCTGAGAAAATATCAAGATTTTGTTTTTTCTGTCTGTGGAATTAAAGTCTGCTAATTGCTTTTGCAAAGCATGGGTAGCAATTGTCACATTAGACTGGTGTGGGAGGGATGTCTGTCGTGTGCTGGAGGTACAACCCGAAGGGTAATTGTGTGCAGAGCAGCACAACTGATGGTCCAAGGGCTTGTAAAGTGCTCCGAGTAATCCAATATGACGTTTGTGTGTTAACTTTCTTGCAGTTACCTTAATCTGACTTTAGTTCTTAAGTTATTCGTAGGTTGATAGTAAGCCTTCTCAGGCGTGCTCCCAGATACTGAACTAAACTGACTTGGCTCCCACTTTCCACGTTAGTCTTTTCCTAAGGGAGAGTGGGGGATAATGCTGGGTGACGCCAGTCCCCAGCAAACCTCCCTGTCCCACTCTACATGATCAACACCCCCATAAAAAGTAGGTTGAAGGTAAAGCCGTGGAAAACAACCTCGTGAACCGAGCAAGAGCTCAGAGAACTCTGAAAATCTCCGCACGGAGAGCATCTGGGAAGCTGGATCAGCAGGCACAGCGCTGAGCGGTTGCCGCAGGGCCGGAGGGAGATCGGGCTGGAAGCAGGCCCGGGGGCAGGGTGGGTGAGGGGGGATCTGATCCAGGAACGAGCCCTGCTCCAAGCAGTGTCCAGGGCAGCCCAGGCGATGAAGACAAGACCTCCGCGGCTTTTGGCGACGCTCTGAGCGCGGGGCTGTGAGGCGCGGGGCGAGGGCGGCCCTGCAGCGCCGGGGCCTCCGGCAGGGCCGCCGCGCCGCTTTCCCCGGGGAGCAGCCTCGGAGGTGGCGCCGCTCCCCTCCCTCACGAACTACAGTTCCCGGCGTGCCTCGCCCCCGCCTGCTCTGACCGGGCGGGAGGGGGGGCGCGCTGCCCTGCGGGAACTGTAGGCCGGGGGACACCGATGGTCAGTGGGTGTCCGGTCTCGGCCCGGCCCCCGGCCCGGCCCGCGGTGCGCGGGGCAGAAGCGGGTCCGGGCGGGGCGGGCGCGCCGCGGGGACGCGCGTCACTCCCCCCGCCAGGCGGCGCGCGCGCTCCCTGCGCCGGATGCTGAGCGGGGGGGGCCGGGGGGGCGCGGGCGCGCGCTCGGCGAGGCAAAGGGGGGTGGGGGGGGAGGGAGAGGAGCCGGGGGAGCGCGCGCTCGTATGTAAATGAGCGGGCGTGAGGTCAGAGGCAGATGGAAAAGGGAACAGAAGGAATGGCCGCCGCGGCTCCCGCTCCTCCTGCCGCCGCCTCCCAGTGCCGGAGTCCCCGCTGCACGGCGGAGCGCAGGGGAGTCCGCCGAGAACTCGACTCCTGGCGGCACCGGCTCATGCACTGTGTGGGTAAGAGAGGGGGCGGCGGCGGCGTCCCGGCTGCGCGGCGGGACCGAGGGGCGGCGGACGGGGCTCCGAGCGGGGGACGGGGAGCGGGGGCGGCGGAGGTGCCCCGAGCCCGGGGCTGCTGGGTGGGCGGAGAGGGAGAGCGGGGATGGAGGAGCGGCCCCGGCAGCTTTCGTGGAGGGCGGGAGCCGAGAGGGGCTGCGGGGGAAAGCGAGGGTCCTAAGCCGCCCCCGGGCAGCGGAGGGTGGGTGTTACGGCTTTGGCTGTGGCCGCCGGGTCCCTCCTTTTGCTGCCGACCGAGACCCGTTCTCGGCTCGGGTCCTTTTGTCTCGGCTCCTCGTCGTTGGCGCGGCGAGCGCCGGTGGCTGCCCCCCTCCTCTCCTCCTCCATCGCCAGTGCCTGGGGGGCGGAGGGGGGAAGGGAGCCCGCCTCTGTGTGTGTGTCTGTGTGTGCGTGCGCCTTTAAGAGGGAGCCGCTCCTGCACTGACGGTTGGGATTTGAAGTTTTCCCTCCCCCTGGAAGTTGTCATGACGACGGCAGCTCCCCCCCCACACACACCCCCTCCCGCCCCGGGGCTGTCCCGGTCGCTCGTGCCGGGAGCTTCGCGGGCTCACGTGACTCTCCCCGCGCGTGTCCGGCAGGCGGGGGCGCGCGGGCACCGGCGGCGTTCCCGCCCGGAGCAGCCCCGGGAGCGGCAGCCCGAGATGAGGCAGCCTCCCCTCCCCGCCCCTGCCCCTGGAAGCGCTGGCACTCCGTGCGTGTGCCGCCTCGGCTGGGATGGGTTTTGTTTGTTTCTTTCTTTCTTTGTTTGGCTTTTTGGTTTTTTTCGGGGGGAGGAGGGAAGATGAACACTGATGCCAGGAACTGCTTTATTTATATTGTTTCAACAGACGTTTCCCTTCTCGGGGAAGTAGATAAGATCCTTGATCTCCAAGTAGCGCGTTAGCGTCAGTGCCTATCCTCCCCGATGGCTGAGCAGGGAAGCACATCCAGTGTGGCTAGGAGGGTTTATTCAGTGCTACTGAGTGCACTTGAGATCAAAGTAAGAAGTGAATATCTAACAAGTAGGTACACTTACAATTACAGGCAGTTAGCTTTGTTCGAGCGGGGGTTTTTCTTCACGATTTTTCAGTAACCTGGAGTCTGCTTTATACACAGAAGGTTCTTGATCTTGCTGTGTTGCCCCAATAACTCTTCTAAACACCTGTTATAACGCCTATATGTATGATATCGTACCTGCGTATGCTTGCACTGTCCTTTTAATCCTCCAAGTATAAAATTGTGTACAAAAGCAATGTTTATTTCCATCCACTACTACACTAGATTACACTTCTTACTGAAAGAATGCAGTTTAATTGGAATATATAAGGAAAGCCAGTTCATTGGCATAGATGCTGTTGTAAGCTGTTTAACCTCATGGACGGATATCTCTGCCAGTATGTAAGTGGCAGTTTCAGTGGCTACCTGTTACTTAATGGCATTTCTCTTTCAAATTTAAATTAAATCCCAGAAGTCTGCTTGACATAGTGAATGACTGAAGAAACATTGGGGTGGTAATTACGTATTGCTAGATTTGTTCAGGAAACGCAGTTTTGCAGCACAACCCACAGTGAGAAAGAGTGCAAAGAAATATCACACCTTGGCTCCTCTGCTGAGTGGATCTGCAGTGTTTAGGGAACTTCTTCAGAGTTGCTTCTTTTGTTGTCCTTTCACTGAGAATTGTAAAGTGCAAAAGTGTAAGTACTTACATTTTACACTGATTGCACTGTGATGGTGCTTCTCATTCAGCTTTCTTTTCATTGGAATAAAACTTATTTAGGGTATGATTTCTTCGTGTGTTTACACAAAGTTATTTCTGAAGGGAACCTTGACATGATTAGCAACTACTAAGGAGGAAGGACATTGATTATGGTTTAAAAGTTAGTCGAGCACTGTCTCGGTTAACGACTGTTACTTGGCATGCCTGTTGAGCAGCCCTTATCAGGAAGTGTCAACAAAGTGGCAAAAAAGTGAGTAATCAGGATAGTAGAGGTAGAGTACACCTAACAGGTGTGGGCTGTGGTTTTTTGTGGTTTTTTTTTTCCCCCTCTTCTTTGAAATCCTGTTGCATTAAGTTCTGTAAAAAAACCTCATGCTCAGAATAACTTAAAATTAAAAATTGTTCATTGTTCTCACTCACCAAAGTATTCCCAAGGATTTGAAGAGTCTAACAAAGTTAGTATTAATGGAAAGGTCTGAACAATTGTTGGGTTGGTGGCTGAAATGGCAAGATGGTGGATGGAGGAGTGGTGAGTATGATGGATTTGGCAAAACTTACTTTTTCTTTCTCCACTTCTTCTCTAGAATCATGTTTGTAGTGAGAAAAACAATGTGGTAGGGCAGTAGCCCCCCAGTCCTTGAACTAGCTTACTGTCAATCCTAACAAACAAAAAAACCCCCCAAAAAAGCATCACCAACAACAGATCATTCTACCCTTAAAATTATTTTTAATTTCAAAAAAACGTAGAAGGGTAGTATGGTTCTGTGGACTATTATTTGTGAAGCATTATGGTCAGAGAGCAGAGCAAGAAAGGACAGACTCTTTTAACAAGTCACATTGTTTCTGCTAAATTTTTCAGATATTCAGCTTTATTTTGATGTCATGTCATTTACTGTATTGATATTAAATTTTATATTTGTATTTCTGTAGTATCATCAGTTAAGCACTTTGAAATCCTTTATCTGTCAAGGATTCCTCATCTACTTTCTTTATTGAAATGGTAAACTGAGTCAGAGCTAATACCTCCAAGACAGTGAATGACAGTTGACTTTTATATCCAAAACAGTGAGACTGAAATAATATTCAGTGGCTGGCCAATGGTGGTTAGGGTCCTCTGCTCAAAGGGCTCAATTGCTGAATTGTTTGTTGGTCAAAACCTGATTGCAGACTTAACTCTAAAGCCCATGCATATATTTAAAAACTTGGGTTTTGCCAGCCTAATACGTTAATTTATGTCCTGCAGAATATGATTTAAAATCTAATATCAAAATGTTCAAGCATTTCAAGAAGTTGAGAAGAAAAACAGTGATAAAATTTCACTGACGTTACTGAAAATTTGCTTATTTGGTATCTAAATATATTTGAAGGTACAAAAGACATCACATTGTAAATGAATGGAAATATATTAACAAAAATTCAAAGTAGGTGTTCAGTACAAAATGTCTGTTCAGCTGGTAACCTAAGTGTGTGTTATGTTGAGCGCTAACATTCCTAAGATGCCTAGACTTGTGCTTATTGGATGTTCGGAACTCTTGCACGACTCAGAGTTCAAAACTAGATGCTCTTTAAAAGCACCTAGAGATCTCCATTCTCTTGATGTTTTTACAGCATGCATAATACAAACTAACAAATACTGTTTATAGCAGTGCTCGCTGCTATGTTTTGCCCTAGGTACGGTCTTTGTGACATAACATCTAAAATTCTGAGTTTATAGAAAAGTGACAGAAAGCTCAGATTTGAAGTACCTGACTTAGCCAGTAACTGAGTTCTGTGGTGGTTTAGGTTGCAAGGTATTTTGTAGAGGTGATATCAGAATGGTTAAGAATTGCTCTTTGGTGCTCTTTGATTAAAACTTTGTAATATGAATCAGTTAATACTATTCCATTGGATTGAGAGGCTTTGGCAAGTGTGAATCTTTAGTAAGTCTAGCTTTGTGGTTAGCCTTAAGAAAAAGGATTTATGCAGTTTTTTCAAGCAGTCTTGGATCCTACTGCCCAATTTCATTTGAACTTTACAGGTAGAGTGTTGGCAAGTACATTGAGTTGCCATTGCTTTCATGAATATGCACAGAGGAGAGACCAAGTAATTGCTGGGGTACAAGAAAAAACTTCAAACATAAGGTGGTGCATTTACTATGTTATCACAGTATCCTAGGGGTGAAGTTTGGGGCAATAATGCAAGGCTTTTTAATGGAAAGTGCCAGGTAACTCCAGTCATGGATGCTGAAATCTTGCTAGGGCCTTGCAGTGTGTTGTGAAAATATAACAGTAAAATTTTCATTTTCAGTGACAGTTTAAAATATCGTTGCAACTTCTTTTTGAAAAAAAATACATTGCTATTTGGGGAAAGGGCAGAAGTTTTACTGTTCTTCTGCTGCAGCTTAAGGGCACACATTTGATAGGAAATAGCCTTGGTGTTGCTTTCTTATGAAAACTGAAATTTGATCAAAGCAAAAGTCCATTTTTGTATGTTTGTGAAATCTAGCATATAAATACTCCTTCACTCTTACATTTTTTCATTTTTTTCCTTCAAAACTAGGATATTAGTGCATCTAAATCTATTTTCATAGGTCTAGATCTTAATTTTTTTAAAAGTGTTTGGACTTCTGCTCCAGCTGACTATTTTTGAACAAGCTGTCTTGCAGGTGCACTTCCCAAGAAGAGGAATTTCCCCCCAAACAAAAGATTTGTAGTTACTGCAATTGGTGGCATCCCCCCTCTTGCAACACTCCTGCATTAAAGTACTTTGTATCTTTGTTCCCACAACACGCAGCAGTGTTCTCACTTTTGGTGTGACTGTAAGTACTTTGCAGCAGGTTAGTGTTGCCTTTTTTTTTTTTTTTTTGTAACACTGGTGCAGTTTTAGGTGATTCTCTATAGCTGGAACAGTAGTAGTGGGAGAACTGTTTATTTTACCAGACATCTATAATGTTCATGTGTGTCTGCTAATGATCATTGTGGTGGCTCAGTGCTCTGTTACTTGTCAGGCTACTAACAGATTGTGTGCAAGAATGACTTCAATAGGATAACTGCTTTGAACTCTTTTGCTTCCCTGTCACTCCAGCGTCCTTAAACAGTCAACAAGCCCGCTGTAGTGCCATCATCCGTGTGATGGACAGTAATACCGGTGTAAGGTGTTCCTGTGGATCTGTTGTGCTTCAGTGATTCCAGTGTGAAACAGATCAAAGAAGTAATCTCAGTGTTACTGCAAATGTTGGAAGAAGAATGCGAGTTAAATCTAGATC